CCGCGCGTGTACACACGGCCGCGCAGATCGAATCTCGAAGCTCGTTCGAGCAATGGCTACGGCTCATTTAAACGCGCCTCCTCCCCTCATCCCGCTGTTTCTTTCATTATAATCCACCGCATTCACTCTGCCATCGCCATCCGCGTTAAACGTTCGTATTATGCGCTTGTTCCTACACCTATGTGTATGAACCGTATCCTTGTTTTCGTTCGCGAATCGTGCACCACCGATGCACAACAGGTGGAGGTGTGTTAAGAAAAGCGTTACCAGTTCGGTCACCGGTACGTTCATTTCGAGTTGGAACGATTTTATCCGCTTGAGAACGGTTCGAGTCGGAGAAAAACGAGCGTGGTCGATAACGAGAAACATCCTTCCACCATCCGACTATGGTGTATGGTCATCGGCGTGTCCAAGATACGGGAACGTTGCGCTAGATCATCGTAAGGTTTTGCATTCGAGGGATTTCAGTAATCCGTTCTCTTTGCCTCTAATCCAATTATCGGACGTTTTCCTTACGGACTCGTGTACTATGTATAACGAGTCCGGCTATACCTACGTTCCACGAGGGATGATCTTTCAACGGAATCGAAACGATTCAACGGATCCCTTCAACGGAGCCTTCTGCTTCTCCTTCTGTTTACCCCCCTCCGCCCCGAAACTATGATAACACGAGAGTCGCGAGTCCAGTTTGCAGGATGCGTTCCATTGTTGAATGAATTTGTATTGGCGTATAATAAATCGATATATATAGGTATATGTCGCCTATTTACGAGTTTCGAGAACGGTCGTTTATTTATCCGTCTCGTCCAGCGGAATAACATTTTACATAAATCAGTGATTAATTCCGTGGAATCGGTGCCGCGAGCCGCTCCATTGACCGTGCAAACACACGCACCGAGGCTCACGTACACACGCCACCAACGACACGTGCGTNCTCTCTCTCTCTCTCTCTCTCTCTCTCTCTCTCTCTCTCTCTCTCTCTCTTTCTCTTTGTTCGGTTAACAGGCGTTCCCCGGCATAGTAATTGTGACATGCATCGAATGCATTCACTTTGCGTAGGTAACGTCTCACTCCGCATCGCAGGGGCGCGCGCGACATCGCGAGCGCAAACGCCGAAGGGGAGACGCATTCGTATTTACACGCGCACGTATACGCGCGGATATGTGTGAAGGGACCGACCGAGGCCCTTTCGGAGATCCTCCCCACGGGGCGACCAACATCGTCTCGAATCGAAAGGGAACCAGCCGAGAGCGGCCCACGAGTGGTGCCAACTTAATGAGGGACCACCTAGCTCCAACTGTTTGTTTTTCGACCAGATCGGGCCCCAGAAGAATATACGCTGCCGCGATCCAAAAACGCTGCGCGGCCCGTTTATGGCCTTGTATCGCGACTCCTATATTCCCATAACTTCCGCGATTTGCCCGTGAAATTACACGCGGTGGAAACACTGGATAGTTGGATAAAGATTCCTTTTGTTCTTCTCTTTTCTTTTTTATCCGCTTTATCCGTCAACATTCTCAGCTCTTTCGCTCTTTCTCCGGAGAGAGAGAAAAAGAGAAAGGGAGAATTCGATCGAATTTACGTTTCCTTTTTTATTTGCAGTAAGTATATCCCGGTTATTTGCTCGGGTTAATACTCGGACGAAATTCGAACAGGAAGAGCAAGATTTCTTTTTTTTTTTTTTTTTTCGTGACGAATCGACCACTCGCGAATGAATAAATGGCCACACATAATTTGGAACGCGAGAGTTCCATGGCATCGATTCGACGATACTCTCCGTTTTTCCGTAATTCACTGCTATAAATTAATCCCGGCCGCGTATTAACGATGCACAAATTACACGCGCGGCCGAGATATTTAATCTCGAAGACACGCTGTAATT